ATGGTCAGTGCTCTTAATATGATACATTGTATTGTATTGCTCCTAGAATGATATTTTACAAAAGAAACTTATAGCCTTAGTACAAATAGTTTTATATACTGGACTTCCAACTGAAAATTAGTATTGAAACTAGATGTATTTTGGCTGTAGAATGCGCGCCTTATATAACACAAYAACCTGAATTTGTTCAAGAGAAAATGACCGAGATATTTCCTCTGCTCATTTCCGTCATCTCTCTGAAAAAATCTCCAAAATTCATCGCTATTACAATGTTTTCAAACGAGTGGATATACTTGAAAAGAATCGTTTGTTGTTGCTTGATTTGTTCATTGATTGCTCACAAAATCTGAATCGATCTCAGTTTCGGATTTCACTCGCTTCGCCACATCAGCTTGGAAAAATGTGTTGCCAAGCTATGCATGCCTTCACTTTCCGTGCTTGGTTGGACTTTACGCCTATGATCACCAAGCCACTGATCTTATCATTGACATTAACTAATTTTCTARCCCYGGTAACATTTTATTCCTTTCTTTATTAAAAAAAATCATCCAAGACTTTTTTAAACTTTTTTCTTGACTTTCCCGCTTCTACTAGAGCCGCTAAAGCCAGCTTTTGTTTTAAACTTGTGCGGCTTTGAAGTCAACCAATCAGATTCCATTCCAAACAATAGCTATTGTTTCCYTACAGTTCGTGTGCCACAAGAAGTTGGCCACCAGATCCACCCTCAAGATTATGAATATTTCCCAGTGGGATTTACAGAGGATAGAAATTCCCTGAATTTTTTTAGATTACACAAAAATTTTAAGCCATCACGAAGAAAGGTTTACAGTTCGTAGCTTAGACTAAATACACCGAGTTTTGGGTTGTGATTTTGTCGCGGTAGAATCAAAAGGTTGGCTACGTAGGTTACTGATGTGCATAAGCATTCAAGCAAACCAAAAGACCTTGATCAACTTTCAATGTTAACCTTACCAATAATAAACACCTAAAGCTTCACTGCACAAGCTGAAACTTAAACTATATCCATCCTTCAATAAATAATGTTAAAATATTGCAGAGAATTCACAAAACGCGCACGGATAGAGCTACATTTTTATGTTGTGCCTCTGGGCGCTATTGCTCATTCGTATATTTTGTGCTCATTTCAATCCAATTCGCTCTATTGGGCGTTTAGAGTTCTTAGCCGTTTATTTTGACAGATCAGAGCTCCAGTAAACTAACATTACAAGGATAAATTTTATCAGGGTTTCCTGTGTCAAAGTTCTGGTGGGAACTGGTTAATAAACGCATCTTTCTTGTTTGAATCTTTACTGTACCCCCTACCAGAACTACAATACAAACAATTTTTACGATTCTCAATGAGCTATCGAGAAATTAAACTTTCTCTTGGAGTTTTCTATCATTGTAAAACCAATCAAAGTATTTAGGGAAAATTGCTGTAGCGTAAATTCGATGGTCGAAGAGATTCTTTGTTTCTGGACACCAGTTTGGCAAATTTAAGAGCAATTTCATTAATCTTTCATGTCCCGGATATCGGGTCTTTCAAGCAGCTCAGTGACGCGTAGGTCAGTAAAACATAGCGAAGCTTAGATTCATTGACTATCTAACGGGGCTAAAGACTAGGGATACGATTGATGAAGAACGGAAAATCAAACACAAGGGAGTAAAGACAAAGTTGGGACATTGTTAAGAGGATGTTATCAGGTAGGATCCTAGTCTATTTTGGTTTATTACTATCAGAATTAGCCTTCTAAATATAGCGACTATCAAAAGCCTTTCTGATCATTATCCTTTATTGATGGTAAATTTTAAGGGATTTATCATAAAATATRATATCTTAGAGTTGATCATATRTTCTCGAATGTATTTTTTGAAGGCGAAATTTGTTCGAATGCCAGATTTGATGTTGTAATATAGAACAACCAGCGCCCTTCAACAGATACATGTTGTTGAAAGGTGCTACCATCATATGCCAGAACCTTCCACTGTGGTARTAATGACATTGAAATAATASTAAGAAATATCCCATCTTAATTTTAAGCGAATTAAACTTAAACATTTGATTAGTTTTCCAAGAATGAAATCATTTTACAAAATCGATTATTTTTGTCAATTTTTTTTATTCTTGATTAGAAATGCATGAAATCCTCGAATTTGATTGACAGAATTTTTTTTAATAAAAGTATTGACCAAATAATTGAAGAATTCCAGTAAAATTGTTTGATGTTTCAAWTGTTTGAAGATATGATTTGGCTTTTTGACTCTTGAGATATGAAAGCCAAACAATTTCAAACCATTGTGCTGGAATCAGTGAATATTATTAAACTATAGTATCGCATCACGATATGGCAAGGTGCACATAACTTCTTAAAAAGTAAATATACTTTACTCTACAAACGATTGGTTTGTCCTTTGTTTAAAAGCACAAATTTATAGAATTTAATTTTCCCTAAAAATTCAATCGAGATCACAAAACATACCAGCAAGGGAATGTTTATGTTTGTGCGTCTTTCAAGTAAAACCATTTCTTACTTTAAACTAAATTACTCGRCACTTTTAGGGTAAGTTTTCTTCTATTACAATACCATATCAGAGCTCTATGCATGAGTTGTAGTTTTTGCCGTATTTGAGCATGTAAGTATTAGAAAATTAGCCATAATTGAGAGTTCTTCGACGAAAAACCACTTGCCGGACACCAGTCGGTGGCCATGTTCTCTTGATCTTTAATGCYCTGATCCAAAAATTGTTATAAAAAGTCCACGTTTTTTTAAKAAAAACAATATTTTATCTTAAACATCCTTYGTAAGGAGAAAGAATGTAWTATCAGAAGTGTTATTGGTGTATTTAGGCCGCGTTATCGCGTGAAAACCCTTCGGATAAATTTACCAACGGGAACTCAATAAGTACGCCCTCAATGTATCAGTTCATATTATTCAATTGTAAGTACATCACTTCAAAGAAATTTCTGAGAATTGTTTGTCTTTTTAGTTAGAAAATAAATCGACATTCRTGGTTAAAACCTTTTTTAAAGAAGCTAGTGTTTTCGTGCAAAAAAGTCAGTATTTACCCACAAKTCTTAATACCCATAATCCTTTTAAAAATATAAGGTTTTGCTATGTTTTGCGGGTACATTTTTCTTGATACAGCATTCTTGATTAMTTTTCTAAGAAATCACTTGGGCTACCTACTGAACATTCATCTAAAARGGRWTYT